GCCCTCATCTTCCAGGTGTGATCACCAAAACTGTCTCTAGACATCACCACAGCTCCCTGGGGCGCCCCCATCTCATCAGTAACCATCAGGGGAGCCAAGACAGACTCAAGATGGAGCAGTCAAGAGGGCCAAAGGGAACAAGTCATGCCTGTTGTTGATCATCTAACCAGGGCACTGCAGCCTGGTTTTGTCCATAAAGTTTTATTGGAACACAGGCACACACAGTTGTTTATGCACCGTCTACGGTGATCTTCATGCCGCCAACAGGAACGTTGGGTGGTATAGCTGGCACCACGTGACTCGTGCGGCCTACGGTATGTACTACCTGGCACTCGACAGAGAGAGCTTCCTGACCCTGGTCCAACGGCCCGCCAAGAGTAGCATTAACTCAATAGTAGCAGACCCCCTTATTTCAGACTTGTTAGGAACATCCCTGATGTCCCCAGTGGAAGGAGACCTCGTGGCATAATAATGGATCGTACATTAAGCTGATAACCACAAGGTCAGCAATTTGAGCCTATCAGCTTCTCCTCAGTAGAAAGACGAGGCTGTCTACTGCCATAAAGATTTTCCTTGCTTTCTAGGGTAGCGTCAGAATTGATCCGAGGACAGTGAGCCTGGTTTGGGTTTTTGATTCCCAGGAGATGACCGGAGAGCTCCTGAGACTGTGATGTGAAGGAGTGGGCCTCCGTACTTTTCCCCACGGAGCGGCTGATGGGTCAGACCTCTGACCTTCCGGTTAGCAGCCGAGCTCCTCATAACTCACCCACCTCGTGAGACGACCTTCTTTTCCATCGCCGGCTGGTGGAAGTATTTCTAACAGACAGAGTCGGTTCTACCTGTATTGGTTCTCAACAAAAATGGAAGCCTACTGTGGATGAGGGCTTTGCACTCAACACTGCCCCTCACCAGCGCCTTTCTGGAAGGAGGCCTGGTCCTGGTTTCACAGAGGAGGAAAATGGGGTGACAGGTGCCATTCCCAGGAGGGCAGACACGGAGCCCACAGCCTGGTGCAGCAGAGTCACGTCTGAGCAGTCACCGCTCCAGCCTCCGAGTCCCGGAAAATTCAGGAAAGTGAGAGCTGAGTGGTGGGTGAGGAGAGCTGCCGGGCCTCAAGGGGCACTGAGTTCTCATGCTTTCCCAGAGTGGGTAGGAAGGTGCAGAAGCAGTGCTGTGGGAAGGCGAGTGGAGGGCAGGGGCCAGTCAGCGCCCGTCTCTGCCCGCTCTAAGACCAGGAGGCTGAGGCAGTGTGGCAGTTACATAATCTGTCAACTTGCAAAGGGGTGGAGTCTAGTCTGTCAACAGGTCAGTTTGATGACCTCATTTGGAGGCGCTATGAGGATAAATAGCTCACTGGTGGCCAGACACACACTCCCTGCAAGACATTCCTTTTGACAAGACATATGGAGCTACACTGATGGCTTGGAGCTAAAAGAGCTGAGATGCTTCCACTGCCACTGGATCCACAAGACTTTCTACCCACTGGCCTATGATCTTCCTGCATTCGGCATCATTGCATATGTTGTGTGAGTCTGAAGAGGAATTTACGGACTGGCATTGGACATATGGTGCAATATCAGACTTGTGGACTTGATCTGGACTGGGCTTGGATATTTTCTTAATATACAATTACTCTTCGATATAAAGCTCTTTGTTATACACATGTCTCTGGATTTTTTTCTCTAGTTAACCCAGACTAACACAGGCAGAATTGCACACCCAGCTCGGGGCAGCCCCTGGCCGCCTGAATGAGGGCTCTGAGGGAAGGAGGGGGCATGACCCCCCACAGAGGGGCTGGCATCCTTGTTGTCTTGTGGCTTCTTTGTTTTCCAGGCCGGGGGCCATAGGCTGCCCCCTCAAAGGCATCCGGCCTTCAAGCGTTCTTTGTTAATTGTGGGAAACACATTCATTTTAGCCCCTTCTCTGGATTCACCAAGGCTCAGGCGTCAAGTGAGATCATCCAGCACTAGGGACATTTGCCAAGGGCCCGGCTCCAGGCTGCTGCCCAGGCTCCTCCAGCCCCAGAAGTCGTGGCCCCAGATTCTGGGTGGTCAAGGTCTCCTCACTGTTCCCCCAGTTGGACTTCAGCACCAACAGGATGTGGAGCGACCACAAGGAGCCAGGTCTGCTCTGAGTGACCACAGCCCTGCGGCGAGTGGCCCCGGGGCCATGAGGAGCATCACATGGGGTGGACACAGGCCCTCCAGTCCCTCAATGCCCTTCGTTGTGGATTGAGCTGTGACTCCAGTGTAAGCCCTGGGCACTCCACTTTGAGGGTGTGACCCCATTGGAGTGTTCTTGGAGGACACTCATGTCGGGGTGTCTTCACAGTTCAGATATGAAGAAATTGACCAGGCTTAAGCCTGGGGCCTCCGAAATGCCAGCCCACTTGCCTCTCATCTCAACCCAGCTGAACCCAACCACGCCCAGAGCCTGGTCACCTCACTCCTCCCCTGACAGTCTTTGGGGATAGTCCTGCCTGGCCCCTGGCCACCACACCAAGCTAGGGCAGGGTCTTGCAACCCGAGTCTGGGGAGGGGCACCCTTCTGGTCTCAGAGTCTCAGTGGAGGCCTCTGATGGGAGGGACAGGGCACTCAGTCTAGGCTGTACCTTGTGACCCTTGGGTGGAGGGGAGTCCCCAGGTGTGCTGCAGTGCAGGGAGCCCAGGAGCCTGTTTCCAAAGCGCACCATGGGGCGCTGGCAATAGTATGGGCCTCACTGGGTGAGGGTGGGGATTACCAGACAATGACAGACAGCACTACAGCTTAGTACCTGCCACCGGGGAGCAATTAAGCTCTCACCTGCATGAGCTCACCTAATCCCTCTCCACAAGTCTGGAGGCTGAGGAGGCGGCTATTAACCCCATTGTCCAGGTGAGGGACGTTTGGTGACTCACCGGGGTCACAGGGCTGTAAGCAGCAGAAATGGGGTTCGAAGGGGGGTGGGCAGCGTGGCTTCCCCCACAGAGGAGGAGGGAGCGGCAGCTGGGGGTAAAGAGGGGAAGAACCGGCTCTGTGGAACACAGATGCTGGCAGCTCCAGCACCAACTCTGGACCTAAGTAGCATGGGTGTTACCTAGGAAGAGGAAAACCCAAACCTGCCCCCCACCCCCCTCCACCCCCGCGTGCCAACCAAGCCAGCAGAGCAGGCCGGATCAAAAAGCAGAAGCCAGGGACTGAGGAGAGCTGGGGAGTCTAGGAAGGACCCGCCCCCAGGTGGGGAAACAGCCACAGGGCAGCGGGGAGCCCTCGCTCGCCACAGTCAGGTGTGACTCTGCCACCCAAATCCACCGGGACGTCCCTGTGCCTCGTTCTCCGTCAGGAGATCCTCACACACATCAACCCCCCTTGGGCTGCCATCCAGTCCAGAGGACTGAGAGCACTGCCCTGGGGGCTCCCGATACTCTGCCTCTTCCTGGGGGCGGAAAGGGGTCTAAAGTGCTGACCCTGTGCTTAGCAGTCCGACACACCACCCTCAGGGCCACTGGGGCCCCTCGCAGATTCCCAACAGCCGCAAGTTGAGTGGACGCCCCACTTGCTGCCCCAGCTGAGCGCTTCTCCCACGAGAGGGACTAGGCAGTACATGGGGCCCAGTGTGAGCCCACACGCTTTCCAGCAGGGGACAGGGGAGAAAGGTCCTTCAGGAAATAGGTGTGAGGGGCCGTGTTCCAATAAAACTTTATTGATAGACACTGAGTGGGAACGGCAGGGGCCATGACATGGTATTCGTCTTTTCATTTCTGCCAGCCACTTAACACACAAAAAGGAGAAGAACCACTTTGACCTCACAGGCCACAAAACCCAGCGGCAGACTGAATGGGGCACACCGGTCATAGTGTGCTTGCTTTCAGTACAGTGCCATGGGCAACTCTGGCCCCTTCCAGGGCCTGTCTAGACTGAGGGGCTGGGAAAGGAGAAGCATGATGGGACAGCGAGGGAAGGCAGAGGCACAGCAGGACAAGGACAGAGACCAGAAGATGGGAGCGTGGCCCTCAACTCTGAGGCCCCTTCCCAGAAGGCATGCTGCCTTAGGCGAGTCAGCCTGGTTTTCTGAAGCTTGTGGGTATTTTCCAGAAAAAAAAACATTGCCACAGAGTCGATTCCAGCACATGTCATCCCTACAGGACAATGTGGAACTGCCCTGTGGGGTTTCTGAGACTGTAATTCTTTACCGGAGCAGAGAGCCCCCGTCTGTCTCCCAAGAAGCGGCTGGTGGTTAGGAACTGCTGACCTTGCGGTTAGCAGCCCAACGTGTCAGCACCATGCCACCTGGGCTCCCACCTGAATGGTCTAGGTGCCCTCTTTTCAAGCTCCAGCCTTCCACAGACCTTTGAAGAAAAGGTGAGGGACACGCTATATCCTAGGTTGGCATGGGCGGGAATAAGGAAGCCAGTGGAATCATGTGTAATTGCTTCCCTTTGATGGGGAGCCGCCTCCAGATGAACGGGCACAGCGGCCATGATGATGGGGGACGGGCATGGGATCAGGCGGGGTTTCCTGCTGTTGTCACCAGGGCTTGGAATCGGCTTGATGGCAAGTTACAACAGTTACGAGTTGGGCTGCTAACTTCAAGGTCAGCAGTTCAAAACCACCAGCCCCTGTGTGGGAGAAAGATGAAACTTTCTACTCCTGTACAGAGGTGCAGTCTTGGAAACCCATCAGGGGCGGGCCCCCCTCTGTCAGGTAGGGGCGCTATGAGCTGGAATGAACTTGATGGCGATGGGTTTGGCTTTTGTAAAAAGCAAACAAACAAACAAAAGCCAAGAGTCGCCTCTTTGGTGGAACTCAGCAGCTGGGGAAGAGGTGGTGGGAGGGGTGTTATTCACGGCTGCACACTTAGTTGGCTTTGATTGAGTCACGGTGTGAGTTACGTCGTCAAAACAGATGAATACATTTTTCCTTCCAATTGGATGATGGAAAAAGCCACACATCCAGAGTAGAAATGCACGGGAGGAAAGAGAAATGGGCGTGGCCAGGCTCATGTCTGGTCCTCCCCTCGGTGCATGGCCTTCTTGCCTGCCCTTCTCAAAGGAGGCCAGTGATGTCATTTCTAGAATGTGTGCACCCAGTGGGAGGGGCCGGGCTGATTCTCCCAGCATTTGAGACTCAGCAGAGTCCTGCTCAGGGCCTGGGGGGGGAAATGGATACCGTGGCTCGAATCTCAGGGGCCACGTTGTCCCCCAGGGGGCACTTGGCAGCGCATGGAGAGAGGCATGTGGCATCTAAGGGGTGGGTGCCGCTCAGCCTCACAAGCTGCATAGCACAGAAGGGTCATGCTGCGGATGAGAAGGCCCGGTGTACAGGTGCCACCTGGGGCTTGGGCTCAGGTGCAGGTTCTGATGCAGCAGGTGGACAGAGGTCCTGCACGCCAGCACGCCACACTTTAAGCACACAGCCTCACCCGGTCCTGGGTGTTGCCAGGCAAGGGGAGGGAGAGGGGGAAGTTTAGGATTGAGGTGAATAGGCTGGTCTTTTGAGTGCAGGGTGGGGGCAGGGGCCAGGGGCCTTACCGTCCAGAGTCTCCACGGAGAGCTGCAGGCCCAGGTTGTGCCGGGGGTTGACCACCCAGTGGTTGCTGGTGGCCGTGATGTCGAACACCAGCCAGCCCTCCTCTGAGGCCCAGAGGGTTCTGCTGTCCAGTAGGAACAGGTCGGACTCCCTGGGAAGAGGAGAGACAGGGCTCCGGGTCAGTCGCTGGGAAAGGGGTGCTCGGGTGGTGGGGGAGGCCTGAGGAGGTCCATCGAGGCCCCCCATTTGGATAACTAGACCCATCTCCACACACAGGAGCCTTCGGGAGAGGGGTGGAAGCAGAGGCATTGGGGAGCAGGATGCTGTGGAGAGCCAAGCTCACCCCCTAGAGTTGCTGGGGAGACTTCCGGTGGGACC